ATTAACAAACGAACAGAGACGTAACAATATGTTCCAAGTATTTGTCTGTCTTTTTGATGCAGAAGAATAATTACAGTATTAAAAATAAGCTCATAGTATATATTAATGGCATATAGTAGGTAACTAGTATTTAAAATCAAACTAGAAGTTAACTAATATTCTTAAAACACATAAAAAACAAAACCTTTTTCTAATGACCGATATTTGTTATCACAACCCATGGTTTTGTATAGGCATCTACATGTGATTGAAAATTCAATAAGCACAAGTTTTCTTTGTATAAGATACATAATTAAAAAATTGGTTGGACACTTAGGAAAAACATTTAAATCCAGGAATGATTAACCTGTATTTTATTGTTTTTTTTTTTTCATTCTGGTGTTTAGGAAGAAAAGGTGTTATCATTCTACTCTTAAATATTTGCCCCCCAGTAGCACAGCGGTATGTCTGCGGACTTACAACGCTAGAATCCGGGTTTCGATACCTGTGGTGGGCAGAGCACAGATAGCCCATTGTGTAGCTTTGTGCTTAATTACAAACAAACAAACAATTACAAACAAACTTAAATATTTATTACGTCACAAATTTTTGACAATAAATAAAGAGACAAAAATAATGATTCCACAATTGTTACTAAAAACATTACCTGAAAACAATCTTAATTTTGAGAAGAAGAATTTACCAAAAACTACAAAGTAATCCAATTTTCGTGAAATATCTATTTCTTCTTGTTAGCAAGAGATATCAATGAATTAAAAGCATAAAATTTTCCATGTGTATTAACAAGGATTTTAGCACATTGGAATTTAATTAGTTAATACAGGATTTTATAGTAAGTAATGACTGATATTTTAAAACACTCGATTGATTACTGTTGTATAATACACAATGAATTTTAATTAAAAACCGATCAACAGTCGTAAAAGGCACTCTGCATGTTTGGATGTCGTTGAGTGTGAAAAACAAATGCTGCACAACATATAAATACAAAAAAAAACATGGTCTTTACATATTTGTTTAAATATTTAAAAAAGATCACACCATCTACTTACTTTCTGAATTTCTAACTCTTCATCATTATCTAAGGTTATCAAGCTATTCTCTATTTACCTCTTGGAGCCTATTCCTCTGTTATGTATAGCATTCCTGGTATTTGTTTACTTTTCATCACCCCTGTTAAAAATTGCAGGATGACTGAGGTTAAGAAGTCATTCAACCTATATAAAATAATATCTCTCCTTATAATATGAGACTCCAAATGTTCATTTGTCTAGTTTCAAATCTTGTATATTACACATTCCTCTGTAATATGTCTTAGACAACTTTCTACCCTCTAAGCTGGAGCTCCGTGAGAGAGTAATGCCTGGAAGTGGATAAAGGATGGCATTTTGTGGATGGTGATGCCTGAATGAGTATCTTTTCTACCTCTAGGTGCACATCATTGTGTACATCCAAAATGTCAGATGCCCATTTGCCATATGATGTATTTCATAGTTCCAACCACATTGGGATTACTTTTTTATCTCTTCTTAACTTTATTTGGTGTCCCTATTGCACTTTCATGGAGTTCTCAAGCGTATCTTTGTATCTGTGTAGGTTTCTTATTCTCCCCGAGTACTCACTGAAGCCAGTTTCGTGGCTTGGCTGGCCTTTACAGATGAGGGCGAAAGGATCTTTAGCCATGGTACATGTTCAGTCATTAGTTTACTGCTCAACTACAGGAAGAGAACAGTGCTTTGCACTCTGACCATGCATATATCTGTGACTATACCTGAGAATGTGTATGACTCAGTCATAGGCACTAATATACTGCATGATCCCTTAATATATATATATAATTAAAGGATGTCCAGAATGATAAGGTACTCTGCTGAGAAGAATTCCTTTTTCCGAGTATATTCTTTTTTTGGTTCAGTTAATTATAAGGCTTGTCTGCTTCACTCAATTTTCCCACGAAACCAGTCCATTTCTTTTTATTCTGGCTCTGAGGTATGCTCGACCTATGTTTGGTCTCTTTAAATTTTTGTGGTTTGCTTTGTTAGCTTCCTGCCTAAAATTCTAATTACTTTTGGTGAACCAGGGTTCCTGGTGACTCTTTGGTTCTCTCCTCCAGGTCAATGTAGGCACTCTGACATTTAATTAGTATTCCAGAAGTAAGTCTACTTCATTTGAATTTTAAGTTTTTGTTATTGACTTACCACTAAAATACTTTGTATTACCATGACTGTAACCAAAGAAATATGGCTCATGGTGGGATAGCAAAGCTTATGTACGTTCTCTTGACAAATCCACAATAAGTCTTGTGGGAGAATGGAGAACTATGAGTAAGTTGACACATGCTCTGCATTGTGTCAAGGACATTCAGAACTTAAAGTCACATGATTGTAGACAGCATGAGAGCAAATCCAACAAGGAAAAACTTTTAGTATTTCAGACATAAGTACCATTTGATATTCATTTTTTAAGGATTTATATTTCATTAAAAATTAACTTGCTGAATAGTTGGTGTTTCTTATCCTTATTGGTCCAAGTTTTTCTGCTGTGAATGTGGTAAAATGTGAAAGTGTGTTTCAAAATCTGCATGAATTTGAAAAATGTTTCAAATACAAGATCTTCAGATTGAGATGACACATTTTTACACTTCTGTTTAACATTGTCTTATATTTCAATGTGTCATTCTGTTTGTCATTGTATACGTATTCATTACATATAGCTTGTGATAACATCATTCAGAGAAAAAAACATTTACAGATTTAACACAAGTGACAGAATGCTTATTTTTGCAAAAGAAAAGAAACATACTGCCTGATAACTGAATAGCTAATGAATAAAAACCCTATAACCCAAGCATTTTTGAAAGGTCCAGCTTTTAAAAGCGCTTGAGTTATAAGGTTTTTATTCATTTCTATCAAGACTTCTTGAACCTACGTGTTTTTCTAACATCATGAACTGGATAGCAAAAATATGGCTGATATATAGTTGTGTATAGTAGTTTGTTGTGTTCAGAAAATTTCCATGTACTCTAAATAATTTCATGTTAACTTTCTTTTATTTATTGATTTAATTTATGATATATAAAAAAGCATACTCTCAGTAAGACCTTCAAGTGTACAGTAAACATCACACTTACCAGTGGTGAAGTATTTAGCCAGCATCTTTCTGTGATTACACCAACACAATTCTGCCCATGCATTTGTTAAGAAAATTTTGTAAATTTGTCTGTATCAGGTGTATTTGTAAGTTTAATAAATTGTAAAAGTAGTTTTTATACTGCATTGACGTGTTAACTATCTAACATTATCATACAATGAATGCTGTATTAGTAACTTGGAAAGAATTGATGAAATACACTTGATTTTAAAAAAACAAACAAACTTGCAGGTGTTGCATAAAGTCACAGCATTTTCACGATTTTCATTATGAAATTCCAATCATAAATTTTAAACATCTGTGAAACTTGATATTTTTTTAGCCTTATCTAAACCTTATGTTGCTGTATTTGAGATCTGCCTTGACATTTAGTCCTTACGTTTAATGTTTTTTTTATGAGTAGGATCAATTTTGTTTTATTCACTAAAAAGTATCAATTTAGCTGAATAAGAGAATTTGGATCATTTATATTAATTTTTTAAATAAAATAATTGTGTGTTTTTGGATATTTATGCAAAGCTACCCAAGGGTTATATGCATGAGCCATCCATAATTTATGATAGATGAACCGATAAACTAGAAAGAAGACAACTAATCAGCAGCACCCATCACCCACTTTTGTCTGACTGAAGGAAGACAACTAGTCAGCAGCACCCATCACCTACTTTTGTCTGACTGAAGGAAGACAGCTAGTCAGCAGCACCCATCACCTACTTTTGTCTGAC